TATAAATTTTATAAAGATAATAATTAAGTATTATGTTAGAATTTAATGATTATACTAATTATATTTTAGAGTTTTTATATTTAAAATGAGATGTTTATCCTGTATTTGATTGTGTTTATCTGCAGTTAGTTACACGAATTCAGATATGAGATGAAATCGGATAGGGATGAAATCGGATAGGGATGAAATCGTTTAGGGATGAATGGGTTTAAGAATTTTTAAGATTTTTCAGATATGTTGCCTTGGTTCTTATGCAACATTGAGAAGGCAACACTGCTTAGGCAACACGGGTTTATTGCCTTAGCCTTATGTAACATATAAACTCCTCTTAGGCAACATTTTTCATTTGTTGCCTAAGTGACATTTTGAGATAGTGGTTATAGCCAAATGTTTTATAAGATAATATAGATATGGTATAAACTTTTGCATTTTGTTATTCAATACGCTTCCGATCCATCGATAGGTTCGGTATAAACTTTACGGGACCTAAAATATTGGAACGGCCTTGGAGTTCACCAAAAATTACTTAAAGAAGATGTCTTTAGAAAAACGTGGAAGAAGCTGAACTGGGCTATATATATACCCATGGCTATTGGACCTTCTAATGGGCTTAGCCCATTTATTTGAGAAACTCCTTTTGGGCTTCGTAAACTACACAGGTAGTTCATTTAAGTTTGAGTTCTAAGATCAGATATAATCAAACCATCTGTGGCTCAATAGATTTTTTATCATTACAAAATATTGTTATAATACCGGAAAAACCAAGATATAGAGGTTACACAATCTAATGCGAATCGAGTCTCAAGTATATGTTATTATAACAAAACATAATTATTACGTCTTGATAGTTATGCGAGTTATTGCTCCATGTTCGTGCAATCGTTGAATCTGGTCAGCATACATAATGCTTCAAATATATTGAGATAGAATTCATTTGGTTAATAAAAGAGTCTCCATTGATAAAGTGCGTGTCATTCACGTACCTTGTACCTCACGGTATGTGTACGTCTTAACATCCGTCATAATCCCATTTCGACCGTGGGGGTGTGTTAGTAGATATATATATATATATATATATATATATATATATGTTACTTATGTATAGTTTCCTATTCCTATAGTTTTTTCGAGTTTTGAGTTTGATTAGTTATGTTCTTTGTAAGCCACCTACATATATTGGAAAAATAATTGAGCCCAAGGCAGGGACTATTTTATAGTCTAGGCCTTGTAGTTTTATGTTGTAGGGGATTTTTAAATTACTATTCACTTCATTGGTTTTTAACAAAATCTTATAACAGTGATATCTGCCTAGTTTCCAAATAAGTTTGATAGGTTGTGGACCATTTTAGAAGAGCATTGCTCTCCATGGAAGGTAGACTCTTGGTTTCTAGGGAAAACTCCATAGCCATGAGTCGGATATGGCTACATTGGTTCTGTAGGTCCTTAAAATGGCTTGAAAAACTTTTGAGACTAGACAGGCTGCCTTAGATCAGGGGCCTGAGTCCAAAGGCTTCGTATCACCAACCTGAAACCCAATTCTTGACCTGGTTCATTCAATGATATCCCTTTGATGGACAACCTACAGTGCAAATATCTAACACTTCAAAATCAAACCAAGCATGTGCTGCAAATGCTAGTGCAAAAAAACGGACCATTTATTTATACTTGCATAGCTCGTAACTTTATCTTATGGTCTACACTGTTGAATTATGCCAAATGGTAGCCTTCCTTTCAACTTGTGCAGTGAGGTCCGGTAGATATGACCTTTGGACTTTTGGTCAAAATTTGTTAGGAATTATTCCTGAATTGCAGTGGTCTTGGGGTTCATGTCCTAGATGCCCATCACTTCTGATTTAGCTTTCTATATCTTCTACTTACATACGAGTTTCATTTCTCCAAAAGTAATACAAAAAATGACAGTGGTATGTAGGAAATCTAGTTAAGCAGATTGTGCAGCATATTTATATATAGAACTACGTTTCTTGTTTGGCAAAAAAGTTATTGTATTGATATAGTGGAACCCAAGTGAAGAATCCTGACACAAAACCTGATGACAACATTGATTATGAAACAAATTGGTATGTGCGAATTAAACCCTAAACAGCAACATATGAATTAGCAAACTGAAAATGATACTTGAAACTCAAACTTTGCTAACCCCCAAAACACCAATATTTGAACTAAAAATGTAAAGAAACTTAACTTGAAGTTGCAATTGATAACCATCCATCTATCTTGAACACTCTAAATGGGAAGCCAAACTAGGCAAACCCAAATAGCTTGACAAAGACTCCAAATTAACTTGACAAGTTGAATAAGATTGCAAAAACACATGGAATAGAGAGAGAGAACTTTCTAACATATATGATCTATGGAAGCATAATCATTAACTTAAGTTTTGGGAGTCAAAGGGATCATGGGTTGATCTCATTTTTCTTTAAGAAACATTTTTTCTATGAATTCAACTTCTGTTTGCCAGTCAGTATTTGAAGAAACATTAGCAAGTTAATCAATAGACAGTGTCTGAAGGTAAGATGTTAAGTTCAACCCATTTGCAAAAATGTAATTAGAGTTGGACTGAGACATTGTCTTGTGTTATTAACATGATATACACATGCTGCTATAAGTAAATGTATGAGACATTGTCATTTGTAAGTTTTATTGATTTGATGCACCATTTTTGCAAAATGACATTAAGATGTACTTGTTTTATGCTACCAAAATTATTTGACATAAAATTGTTTAATTATTTTTTGAAGTGTTTAAAATATATTTCAATATACAAAAATATCAATGCCATATAACAAAATATAAGAGTGCTTAATTACACAGTAATTTTTTTTAGTTACCTTTCTCGAAATATATTTAAAAGAAAATAAAGGATGATGTAAATTTAGTCCTTGCGAGTCTAGGGCTTTGATTATTTGAACAGTAGGGTTGCAAAACAAGTACTTTCTGAAGCTAGCTAGCATTGTGCCATGTGAAAAGAGAAAGAGCATGGACATGTACTAATGTCGTCTTAAAGCTGCTTTTCTTTCCTTTCTCTCTTCCTTTAATAAATGTTGATGTTTTAGGGCTAGTGGGTCTGATCCTTAGTTTCTGGGTTGTTTACAAAAATAGGGTTTATGCGACTACGAGTGGTTGATCTTCATTTCACTCAAATTTCTTCCATGATTATCAGCTCTCATATTGCTGTGGTAATTTCATAAAAGACCATGATTAACAGGGACTAATGCTATACAGGACCACATCTTAGCTGGCTTCTGTGTGTTTTTGTCCTGGTCTGAACTAAGTAATTGCAGCTTGTTTAGTGTCTAGCTTCCATAAAATCTGATATAAGATTAGGGTAGGAGGCCAAATAATATTATAAGTTAATTTTGAAGGCCAGAACATCAAGATGATTAACAGCAGTAATTTGTTGTTGTTAATTTCGAATACAAACAATTTCCATCAAAGCAAATATGGAGTTAGAGAGACAAACTGTTGTTTATCGATCATAGCCAAACTCCCTCACGGTTTTTTTTAAGTCATAAGAATACCCCAGAATTTAATCTAGTTAAAGAGACCATCACATGATTCTCAATTGTAGGTTCCGTTTTTGTTTCTAGATTGACTGAGTAGTTTTGTTATTGCTTCATCCATTGACTTCTTGCGATTGTGTTATTGTTTTTAGATCGACTTCTTCTTTCTGCATTTTGTTCTTGATGTAGATGTGCGTAACGATTTTAATTACTATTTCTAGGTCGACTGGGTTAGATGGGGAAGAAGAAGGAAAAATGGGGTTACGACTGGGTTACTGCAATTGAACCATTTAAATTCAAGGCCCAAAAAATGGTGTCGTGACGGGGAAGAAGAAGGAAAAAGAGAGGAAAGGGGACGATTACTGTCTAGGTCAAAAAAAGAGAGAAGAAGATAAGGAAGAAACAAGGGCAACTTGTCAAACTTTTTTAATTCTTTTTCCATTGTACTTCAATTACCAAAATTAGAAAGAACATCATTGAAGCAATGGTAATTTACATTTTTTTTCTACATATTAATTCTATTATTATTTATACTTTTATATATATATATATATATATATATATATATATATACACACACATATTTGTATCTTCTTATATATATATATATATACACACACATATTTGTATCTTCTTCTCTTCCCCAAATCTGCTACCACAAGACCAATTTTTCCTTTTCTTCTTATCCTTTCTTGCTACCACAAAACAAAAAGGCATTTTTGATTAGAAAACAGAGCCCTTTCTTCTTCACGGGACATAACAATGATGGTATGGATGTATCACCTCGATCAGAGAACCGATTTCATATATCAAAGTGATTTGATGTATCACAACCTCATTGATACATATAGCTCTCCCCTCCCTGTTAATTTAATTTCACAGGTTTTTCAAAACCCTAGAATTTGGAGTTATGCTTTCTTTCGGTTCCGATTTCATCTTATATACACACACATCTGTTTCTTCATTGATTTTTGTGGGTCTGTTTCCTTTTAATTTTTGTTGGTGAAGAGCAGCTTTGGAAATTGGGGATCCGAAGAAGATGCTCGGTAATAACCCATGGATCTGAAAAAGATGCTCGGTAAAACAAACGAGGTTCCGACGAGAGAGACGGGAAGTTCTGTAAGGGTGGTTGCTCCTCTCCTACCACCACATGATCAGATCATGTTGAGCTGGTGAGTTTGCCCTTGATTTTCGACAAAAAAGCAACATCCCTTGAAATTATAGGAAAAGAAATATACAGGTGCTATTGTTACTATTTCCGTGTGTGTATGTGTGTTTATTCATGGATTATTATGAAGAAAACAATATTCATCATGAATGGAAGCAACAAGCAATATTCAAGATTTCTTGAAAAAAGAAACATGTTATTTGACATATATTCTTTATAATGTTCAGAAAGAAAACAGTACTCATCAATGAATAGAAGCTGTCATTTTGAGAACTGGAACCCTCAATTTTAATTAACTATTAGATCTTATTCTTCGTTCCTCTCAAACTTATTTTATGATTTTATATGGTTTTGAGATAACGAGAAATCTATGGTTGGTTATCACTTAAATCATTTTATGGAGTATTTTGCATTATTAAATAAGGTTTAATGTTTATCTTATATTTAAATTTTATATTAATTGGTTATCTATTAGTGATATAAACGTGAAGTTTTTAGAAATTATATGTATGCAACATAGTTTTAGGGGCCGTTTACCAAATGCTTACTCGGGTAAGCGCTTACTAAGTTATATTACTTTACCGGATGGATATGACAATGACAAAAAATCTAACCTGGTAAGAACGAGGCAAAGACCGAGAGTCTTACCCAGTAAGTGATGACAATGACTCTTACTACGGTCAGCTCTTACCGACTAAATTGTTACATAGAATTAAAGCCGTTTTCGTTGACTAAAATCTTACCTAGTAAGTAAATGATAATGTTGAATTTTACCGCTACATACTTACCGGATAAGTGTTTGGTAAACGGTCCCTTACTGTTAAGCGACTTTCAGTACATGAGCTAAAGTCTTATAATAAAAAAAAATGCATTTGAATTAAATTAAAAAAAATTAGTTACTTTTTGATACAATTTATTTAGTTTTAAAATTAATTAATTATATTTAAGAAAATAGATTAAAAAAAGGAAATTCTTTAGAGTTTATCAATTAATTTTATAAATTTTTAAAAAATTATACATAAGCTATAATAACTTATAATATTGAAGTTTAAGGTATTTATATATATAATTTCACTACTAGAAAATCAGGTATCAGCGATGAACATCAGCGAGGGATCAGCGACGGATTGAGTTTTTGGGAAATCTCTCGCTGATCAGCGAGGGATCAGGGAGGGATTGAGTTTATGGACAATCCCTCGCTGATCCCTCGCAGATCAGCGAGGGATCAGCGAGGGAATCTAATTTTCGCTATTTCTTTTTATTTTTTAACTACAAATATAATTACTTATTAATTTTTAATTACTGATTATTAAATTTCCAATTATTTATTATAATATTACAAAAATTAATTAACCGAATAAAGCCCATTTAGGCCAATAAAACCGAATAAAGTTTATTAAGGCCTGATAAATTTAAAATAGCCCGGTAAATGGATTAAGGTCCAATAAAACCGAACAAAGCTCAGTTAAATGGTTTAAGACCCATTAAAATCGAACATGACAACATACGATACCTACATATAAAACTGTGTATATATAACCCATAAAAAAAAGAAAAAGAAAAAAATAGGACAATTCCCTCGCTGATCCCTCGCTGATCAGCGAGGGATCAACGAGGGAATTGGCAAAAATCAGTTTCCCTAATCAGCGAGGGATCAGCGAGGGATTTGGCAAAAATCAGATTCCCTCGCTGATCCCTCGCTGATCAGCGAGGGAATCTGATTTTCGTCATTTTTTTAACCAGAAATTTAATTACTTATTAATTTTTAATTACTGATTATTAAATATCCAATTATTTATTATTTATTATAATATTACAAAAATTAATTAATAAAACCGAATAAAGTTTATTAAGGCCCGATAAACTTAAAATAGCCCCGTAAATGGATTAAGGTCCAATAAAACCGAACAAAGCTCAGTTAAATGGTTTAAGACCCAATAAAATCGAAAATGACTACATACGATACCTACATATAAAAATGTGTATATATAACACATAAAAAAAACGAAAAATAAAAAATAGGACAATTCCCTCGCTGATCCCTCGTTGATCAGCAAGGGATCAGTGAGGGATTTGGCAAAAATCAGATTCCCTCGCTGATCAGCGAGGGATTTTCCTATTTTTCCTATTTTCTCATTTTTATGTGTTATATGTTCATATTATTATGTGTTGGTGTCCTACGTATACATGTATATGTGTTGTTTGCATATATATATATATATATATATATATATATGTTAACACGATGTTGTAATTGTTATATGTATACATATACTCGTCAGTCCATGTTATATACATATGTATACACGATGTGTATAAATGTGTGGTGGTTAGCAACCAGTACACATCGTGTATATATATGTATATAACATTGACCGACGGGTATATATACATATAACACATACAACGTCGTGTAAACATATATATATATATATATACCTATAACACATGCACATGTATACATACGCTACATAAATATAAAAATGTGTACATGTAACACATAAAAATCAAGAAAATAGGAGAATTCTCTCGCTGATCAGAGAGGGATCAGCGAGGGATTTGGCAAAAATCAGATTCCCTCGCTGATCCCTCGCTGATCAGCGAGGGATTTTCCTATTTTCTCATTTTTATGTGTTATATGTACATATTATTATGTGTTGGTGTCCTATGTATACATGTATATGTATTGTTTGTATATATATATATATATATATATATATATATACTAGAAGCGTACTCGCGCAATGCAGCGAGATACATCGTGATTTTAATATTTCATTTTATTCTTTATCTCAGTCAATGTTATAATATGGTTTTATGTGATTTTGAGAAAGCAATGATGTTCTTATTTTTAAATAAAATATATGTTTGAAAATATCATAAAAATTTGATAAAAATATATCGATATTAATATCAAATTAACTATTTGAAATTCCTCATTTTTTTGTGTAATTTTTTAATTCAATTTTTTATAATTTAATTTATGTACAATAATGAAGTAATTATATTTGGTTTAATAATATAATTTTTTATAAAGATAATAAATATTTATTTTGTTGGAACTCGATAATTATTCTAATTATATTTTAGATTTTTTATATTTTAAAATGAGATGTCCATCATCTATTTAATTATGTTTATCTGCAGTTACTTATACGAATTCAAACATCGAGCTTTAATAAGTTGTACTTATGCATAATTACTTGTAATATTGAATTTTAATAATATGCATCAATATACAGTACTTTATGCATAACAAAAATATATCGATATTCGTATCAAATTAACTATTTAAACTTCCTCATTTTTTGTGTAAGTTTTTAATTCAATTTTTTTTATTATAATTTAATTTAGGTACAATAACGAAGTAATTTGTT